AGCCAAAATGAAGGGTAATTAACTCTGAAATGGGTCAATGAGAGAAACTAATTTATTCCCAGGTCACACTGCACTCTTGGATAAAAATTTACCCTTTATTTAAGTATATATAATATTAGGGTAAAAATATATTTCAGGAAAATTGATCCCTTACTCTTGCAGCATGCTGTCTGTTGTACAAATGCTAGTTAAGTATCTGAAGTATGATTGGGTCCAGTTGGGTATCATTCTGACTTCCCACTCCATTGAACTTTGGTGCATTGTCAAGTCTATGAAGTTGAAATAGGAACCATTATGAAAAGCTAATGTGGACAATCTGTTTACTCATGGCTTTTGTATAATTTATTCATGCTCTGTTAGGCTAGCATAATTATTCCCATGTTATTTTAGTATTTCTAATTAACCAAAGTGAACATCATTGATGAGTGGTAAAGCCTCTCAATTGAAGGGCTCTTTTATGCTGGAATCAGCACCACCCTGGCAGCAGAGGGAAGACGCTAAGCCTATCCTTCTGCAATGATGAATAACTTTCTGGGTTGTTACCTGCTCTTAGCTTTTGTTTCTGGGAGAAAACATGTGGTGACTGCTTTTTATAGGTCTGAATAGGTCTTAAAACAATAAATTCCCTGTATTTTAAAGCACTGATTCTCATAGAACTTGTGGCATAAAAGCAACTCTATTTGATGGGTCTGGGGGTGTAACTCAGTGGTACAGTGTGTGCTTAACATGCCTGAGATCCTGCTTTGATTCTCTAGCATAGCATAGTGCATGTACACACAGACACAGACACATACAGACAGAAATACACACAAACACATACATGGCAACTGCATTTGCTAAAACTGCATGGTAAAAGTGATTAATTAGCTGGCTAAAGCTTCTCTAGTAAGGAGTTTTAATGTCCTTGCTGTCAGGATTCTACTTACCACTTAACTGATGTTGAAAGGACCCCTATGTGGATTATGGCACAGGGTTTAGAGTTAGTGGTTTGAATTTAAGAAGCATCACTAATTCATAATTTATTGTTAGAGGAAAGTAGGAAAGTGAATGACATATACTGAGGGGTTGAGAAAAGATGCAGCTTCTAATGGGTAAATTACAGTGTAACATTAGCTAAAAGAAACTATTCAGTTCATAGATTCCAGATGTACTTTTCATTCTAAATTATATATCTGATGAATATGTTGTCTATTTTTCCTTCTTCAGTCCTCTCACTTTAGCCCAAGTCGATTAGAAATTCACTGTAAATATGTGAGTTGGTTATGTTTCTAATGTTGCTTCTTCATAATGCTATTTCTTTTTCTTTTCCTTTTTCCTTTTTTTCTTTTTCTTTTTGAGACAGAGTCTCGTCATGTAGTTCAGGTTGGCTTTAGGCTCACTTTGTAGCCCAGGCCTGTCTTGAACTTGTAACTATCCTCCTGCCTGAGCCTCCTGAGTGCTAGGATCATAATGCTGTTTCTGTATGCTTTTTGGACTTAAACCACGCATTGCTTATCACTAAAAGTAACTGCCACTTTTTTTTTTTTTTTTGTGTGGTACTGGGGATTGAATCCAGAACCTTCACACTGAGTTAACCTAGTTCCTTTTACAATTTGTTTTTGTTTTTGTTTTTTAAGACAGGGTCTCACCCTGTAGTGCAGGCTGGCCATCAACTCATATGTAGTCCAGGCTGCCCTCGGACTTAAGCTGATCTTCCGACTGACTCTTGAGTAATGGGAGTACAGGAGTGTCATCATACCCAGCTTTTAACATTTTTTTGAGATACGTCCTCATAGGTCATTCAGTTGCCCAGGTTGGGCTCAAACTTATGATCTTCTTGTCTCTGTTTCCTAGAATCCTGGAATTATATGACTGCCAGTAATCTTAATAGTTGTCTTCTTTAAATCCCTCTTTCCAAAATTTTAGATTTCATTAGTCTAAGGCCAGAATGTTCTTCATAAATGAGGTGACCAAGATTTAATTGGTATTAAACCCTATAGGGTTCTTCTTGTCAAACTCAATGTCCCTTACATTTTCAAGATTTAAAAAAAATTCGTATTGACCTGGGGAAGTATAACCTGACACTCCCGGGGGCAACTGGCAAGGGTGAATAGTATGGATTAGTATTTGCCATGGTCTGCTTTCCGGTGTCTAACTGCTGCAGGTAGGAAAGAAGGACCACAGAGAACTTCTTGAGCAAGGATATGCCTCCTCCCAAACCCCCTCTTCCTCTGGTAGGGAGATGAGCAAAGCCAAGGCTATGAATCTCTGACCTTAAGTACAAGTATGCCTCAACTAATCCTTAAATGCACAATTGGATTTTCCCTAGATTTTCTTATTTTACAATCTGCCATTACCACAACAAATGTTGCTGAATGCAGGTGAACTTGCCTGATTATCTTTTCATAATGAATTTCTAGAGCTGAACTTGTTCAGTTGAAGCCACAAGTAATTATAAAGTTTTTGACATAGGTTGTCAAGTTACTATCCAGAAAGGTTTCACTTGCTCTTACTTCAGCAGTGTTGGAAAGTGCCTATGTCCGCATATTCTCAACAGCATTCATTACTAACAATCTTTTTTTTTGTCTAGTACAATATTTGTTAAAATATAGGTTGATAATCTCTATTTCTGAGTTTGTATGAATGTTTCTGGTGTTTTAATATTAGTATGTAATATTTACTGGTTGTTTGAGATACAGTTCCCTCTCATCCAAGAGGCATGTATTCTAAGACGCCTATCAGATGCCAAGAACCTCAGAGTGCACTGAGCTGTAGATATGACCTAGTACCTCTTTTGCATCACTACTGCTATGCTTTGAGGCCATTATTAAGTTAAATATGGTTACTTGAACATAAGCTTTGTGATACTGTGACAGTCAGTCTGATAACTGAGACAACTATCAAGTGACAACAGTAGCTGTAGTGTATACAGTGTGGATACACTGGAAAAAGTGAAAACTTATATGCTGGGTGGGATGCAGCAGGGTGCCATGAAATTTTATCATGCTACTCAGGTTGATACATACATTAAAACTTGTGAGTGAATTTTTTCAGAAATTTTCATTTAATATTTTTTGGGCCATGTGTGATTCAGGTAAATGAACCCCGGAAGCAAAACCATGAATAAGGAAGAATTATGTATACCATTATTACAGTTTGGCTAAAATATATACAGTATTAGCAGATCAGGGAATATGTATAGGAATAAATTCCAAGGATGTCAGACCACAGAAGGCAAACTATAACACTAGGTTGGGAAGAATTCATTGTTCTGGAGACATTTGCTAAATGTTCTAGATTTAATGTGTTAATTTGTACAGATTGGGGGCTCTAACAGATTAAAAGGGTTGGCTGAGATTTTGATTTAATGATGACATGTAGCCAGTGAGGATGAGATACCAGCACTTTACCAATATGAAGTAAGAAGGGAAATTCAAAAATTTAAAGAGATAGGAATATCAGAGAGGCCTTATTTTGTGCCCACTAAATTCTCTAATTCTTGAGGAAGCCTGGAGGGAACACAAGGCTCTGAGAAATCTGTAGTGAGAGGAGAAATACTAATGCCTTGAGAAATACTTTGGAGGGATATGTAACTGTTTCCCTTTATGTGAAAAATAATGATCAAGTAGATGCTGCCATTGAGATGAACTCACAGATGTCCCTAAAAATGATGTGATCCCGAATAGCAGAGGTCAAGTTACAGCACTTAACCTTGAAAGACAAGGTAGTACATTCAGTGTAAAGGGCAATAGAATGCATTGGCCCTATCTTATTTCACTTGACTATTATCACAAAAATACCATGGACTGGGAGGTTAAACAACGAACATTTATTTCTCACAGTTCTGGATGCAAGGAAACCCAAAAGCAAGGTGCCAGCCAATTTGATGTCTAGTCAAGGTCAATTTTCTAGTTCAGAGATGGCGGTCCTCATCTGTGAGAAAAGGTGTGTGTGGGGACTGTCTGGAGTCTTTTTAAAGGCAATAATTCTTATTCATAAGGTTCCAGTCTCATGATCCAATCACCTCCCCAAAGCTCCTGTGTGTGTGTGTGTCTGTGTGTGTGTGTGTGTTATTGGGGAATGCACCCAGGGCCTTTGCACTGAGCTATATTTCTAGTTCATTTTTTTGGTCTTTTGGAGACAGGGTTTTGGCTATGGAGTTCAGGCTGGCCTTAAACTCACAGTGATCCTCTTGCCTCAGCCTCCCAAGTGCTGGGATTACAGGCATGTAGTTTACTTCTTATTCTGGGACCAGATCTTGCTGGGCTTGAACTTGTGATCCTCCTGCTTCAGCCTTCTAGAGTACTAGGGTTATAGGTGTGCACCACCATTCCCAGCTAGCACTACATTTTAGTATCTTTTATTGGGGATTAGGGTTTCAATGTATGAATTTTGTGAGGGATAAAAAAATTTAGTCTACAACAAGTCCATGCCTAGGGATCTTCAGCTTTATGCTAGTCAGTGAGCAAACTGTTCTATTTCTGGTGTCAAAAACGTGACTTGATATCGTTGTGGTGGGTCATAGCCTCCCACTCAGTTTACAGACATACCAGTTCATAAACATAGAGTCCATTGATTGAATTGGGGATTTCTTTCCTTTGAGGAGTGGTCTTGCAGCATTGCCACGAGACTGTGTTATAAATTTTCTAATCTTTGTCCAAAGAAACTTTCAGTCATTTGCTAGAAGGTCTGTGCAAATAAAAGAAAAAAAAAAAAGGAAAAATCAGACCATTAATCTATTAACAGATACTGCTTTGAATCAATACCTATCAATTACTGGTGATCTAGAAGGACGCTGTGACTTACACAGGAGTTACTGGTGGTAGGTGATAGGCGGAGTCTGGACCTAAGTTAAGGTGGGGTCAGTTGGTCCATGGACATACCTATGGTTATTTATTCATCTTCTGAATTTATAATTAGAATAAACGTGTTTATGTGCATTGGTGTGGTAGAAAGGGATAATTTTTCTGTCAAAATATTAAACCAAATATTAAATATTAAATGCCACACAAAGCCAAGAATAGAGGGATGATGAATTTATACATGGGAAGTGCAGAGCAAGCTTTTAATTTTGACATTAAAATCCTTAAAAACATAGGAGATGGCAGCACTGAAGAATAAAAGGACAAGACTGAGAACCATATAAAACATTCAGCTTCAAGAGAGCAATCAGGAGCTCATGGGCATCACTGGAAGAGAGGACATGCAAGAAACATTGAAAAAAGAAATGACAAAAAGAAATGTCAAGAACATTCTATATACAAATTTGGACAAAGCCCTTTAAACCAGAAGCCTTTATAAAAGCAAGACAACCTGCCTTGGACACAGATGATTATGGACTGAAACCTCCACAAACTTATTTGCAGTCAGGAGCACCAGGGACCAATCTGGAGAGCCGTCTGTCCTGTTAAGCAGCATTTCTGTGACACAGGAACTAACAATTTGCAGAAGCAAAAGCCAAAGCAAAATTGAATGGTGTACTTGACTTCAAAAAAGGAGAAGGCAGACATGCTTAAATGAGCCAGTTTTAAAGAAATGATGCTTTCAATTATTGGCTTCTGCCCAGAGCAAAGAGATGAATTAAATTCTTTCCAGGTACAAGGAAGTACATTTAATGAAGCTTCACTTTTTTTTTTAAATTTTATTTAAGGAGAAAAGAAAAAAAAAAAAAAAAAAAGCAGGGAAAGGGTACAAGTTATACAGATTTACAGAAAAAAAATGAACAGTAGGAAATCACTAGTTAATGGATTACATATTGTCATCTTAGAAATAATTGTTCAAGTCACAAAATTAAAGCTTGTAAAGTGGACATTCCATCAACGATACTGCAAACAGTTCTGTTCATTGATCCAATAAAACTCTGTGATATCATTTTCTATCTTACACATTTAAATATACATGCAGTTATATAGTTTGGAGCACTTTCTTTTCCTCTCTTTTGTACCATGACTATTACACATTTTGGGTTTCATTGCTCCCACGGTTCTTATTACTTTTTTGGAAGAGAGTAAAACCAAATGTGACATAACAGAACAGAATCGGTCAAGTCAAAAGGGTGGACATAATAGATAATGTAAAAACATAATACAGGGTGATCAAAAATGGTTACCATAATGCCTCCCGCTATCTCTAATAGAATTGCCTATATCGTTAGTTATAATACAATTGAACAAAACAGTAAAGAATAAAACCGACAAAACCAAAACATTGGAGACATTGTAGGTCTTCGAAAGTAGATAAAAGTCAACAAGAATGGGCGTCATAATGAATCTCATTATCTTCACAGCTGATGCCTAAACTTTCGAACCTGATACTATCCAGCAAAACAGAATAGGGGAACATCAGTTAAAAACCAGATGGTGAGAGTAATACAGGGCTTTAAATCAAGGTAATGAAAAGTCAAAGTGGGTTACTATAATATATCCTGCTATTTTTTTCCTTTAATTAAAAGGATAAAGATAAAAAAGTAAATAATGGAGTGGAGATTGAGATAAAAGAGGGCATAACAACGAAACAGCGCAGATCAAAACATAACCATTTAAGCAGAGTAGTGTTTCACCACCAGATAATCCTAACCTAAAAGTAGTTACCATATTGTCTCTTTCTTTGAAATCCTTGAGTACAACTTCGTATACTGTAGCATTAAGTATATCAAAACAATGTAAAACCATTCAAGAGAATGACAGCATTACAGAGTATTTAGAATCGACTAACAGAAAATGAACAATGGTTTCTGTATAATCTCCTTGTCTTTAAAAGGTTTTTGCTTATACTATCGTACATAATAAAATCCAATAAGATACAGCCTATTTAGACCATTGGAGACAGAAGGACAAAAGCTAGATAAGACTTCAAAACAAGATGATACTAAATCAGTATTACCTATTAAGATGTCATTTTCTCCAAAATAGCTGTTCCTATCATCCAATCCTCTCTGCCTCATTTCTGTTGAGCTCTTTTTCTGTCAGTAGCTGTCAGTTTGTCTTCTTCATTTTGTTCTCTGCTCCATTCGTTGTGGCCTCTCTGCCATTATTTCTGGATTCTTTGTAATTTTCTTTTTTTAGAATATCCTGCAATACTCTCTGTAGAGTTGAATTGGTGGTTGCAAATTCCCCCAGTTCCTCTTTATCCTGGAAGCACCTTGTTTTTCCATCAATTTCCAGGGACAGTTGTGCAGGATATCTCAATCTTGGCTGGAGATTATTATCTTTCAAAGCTTGAATTATTTCTCCCCACGCTCTTCGTGATTTGATGGTTTGTGCAGAGAAATCTGCTGTAATTCTGATGGGTGTTCCCTTGTAAGTGGTCTGTTTCTTGTCTCTGACAGCTTTTAATATTCTGTTCTTGTATTGAATTTCTGGAATTTTGATTATTATATGCCTGGGTGTAGCTCTGTTTGGGTTGTAGGTAGCTGGGGTCCTGTATGCCTCATACATCTGAGTATCTTTACCTTTTGCTAAATTAGGAAAATTCTCCTGGATTATTTCTGTGAGTAGCTTTTGTAGTTCACTTGTTTGTGTCCCTACTTATTCTTTTATGTTCTTAATCCTTAAGTTATGTCTCCTCTTATCATCTTCTTGTCTTTGTATTATTGCTGTTTGTTTCTTTGTTATTTTTAAGAAGTTTTTCATTTCATTCTCCCATATTACAAGTCTGCCCTCCAGTTCAGATAGTCTGTCCTTAGTTTCTTTCAAGCTGTTATGCCAGTCTTCGATAGACTTCTTAGTATCTTGGTAGTCCCTTTGAACCTGCTTCACGTATTCTATGCTTTCTCTGTTTTCTCCATCAAACAATTCTCCCCTTTTTTTCTGTTCTTCCATTCCACCACCTGTTTTTTCTTGGGTGGTACTTAGCATTTCTCTAACTATTCTGCATACTTCTAGCTTCAGGTCATTGATAACTTCATTCCTGAATTGGTCTATGAGGCTCTCTATATGGCGCCTTATGTGTATTGGTGCGGTGTCTGCTATTGCCTGTTTCTCAGAATTGGGGGCCGAGGAGCCTTTCTTGTTGCTGCCTCTTCCCATGCTGCCTCTTCTTCTCTGTTCCTTATATATGCAAGCTTATATAAGAGGCCCAGCTTCTCTCCCAGTCAGCCACAGCCTGATCGAATTGCGCCAGTTAGGTGTTCCCGCTCACCGCTGCGCACCAGGGAGTTACGGACCAGGCAGCCTACGCGTCTCCCCTCCCGGCCACTGTCAGGCTCTGGGATCTGGGTTGGGACAGCCTACCAGGTCCGCCGGCAGCGTCACGCAGGCCAGGCACTTTTCACCAATCCAGCCCGAGAGGGGGATGTGTGGCTGGAGTCGCCACCGTGCCCTGCTCCCGCAGGACTGCTCGGGCCCAGAAAGTCCTCTGCTGGAGTCAAACCGTGGTAGAGTGTCAGTTTCTCTCACTCACCTCACCACAAGTCAGTGCACGCCTCCCTGCCGTTCGCAGATTGCCGTTCTCAGAGCTTCTGCGCGTCTCTCCCCTTGCCGAGCCACTGTAGAGGCAGCCAGCCGCCGCGCGGCAGGAAACCCAAATCGCGGCTTACAATGGCGCGGGGTCCAGCCTCCACACCGAGGCTTTTCTGTTCCTGTTTTAGCACCAGGACTGCATTCCAAGTTGGTTTCTCTCAGCCCAGTTCATTCCTGAGTCAGCAGAGCATATCTCCACCTGCTTATGTCTCCATAGTCTGCACCATTCCTGGCTTCTGAGCTGAGTCTTTCAGAGAGCCTCCAGTAGTTGCTGTTATCTGTCCGCCATGTTCTCCCGGAAGTTCCTGAAGCTTCACTTTTATCCCCTTGGTAGTTGGGGACAAAACTACCTAATTTGGAAGCCAGCCACATCTCCCGCAAGCCTCCCAGCTGCCATCAGGGACTGGTAACCAGCATGGACCAAGAGAAATGGCCAGCCAAGCCCTCAAGTGCCTGCCACTATGGAGGAGTCTAAGTGTAGCTGCATGTGACTAGAGAAACATGCCCAACCTCGTCCTCAGGAACCAAGATTAAGAAAAACCAGGGACTTCCGGGAGAACATGGTGGACAAATAACAGCAGCCACGGAGGCTCTCTGAGATTACCAGCTTAGAATCCAGGAGCGGTGCCGTGTGAGGAGTCCCACGCGAGGGGAGATATACCTTGCCGATGCAGGAACGAAGTAAGCTGAGAGAAACCAACTGGAAATGCAATCCTGATGCTGTAAAAGGAACAGATAAAATCTCAGTGCGGAAGCTGGATCCCGTGCCATTGGAAGCGGCGATTTGAATTTCCTGCTGCCGATACTGTGTCCCAATCTGCACGGCGGGGAGAGAGGCACGCGAAAGCTCTGAGAGCGGGAATCGGCCCAAACGGCATTGAGAGCAGGACTGGCTCGACCTGCAGTGAGTGAAATGGGGACCCTTTCATAGACTAGCTCCAACAGAGGACATTCTGGGAATGGGCAGACTAGCCAGAACACAGCCCTGCAGTGACTTTAGTTGCATATTCCCCTCTCAAGCTGGATTGGTGGGGAGCGCTTGGCCTGGTCACTCCACAGACTAAGATCCTGTAGGCTAGCCCAAATAAGGTCCCTGTGCCTGGAGGTGCACCCTAGCAGTGAAACATTCAGTAGGTTGACCTGGAGGGGTGGGCCCAGCAGAGGCTGCCCAGGTCTGTGTCTCCCTAGTACACTGTAGTGGGCGGGAACACTTAGCTGGCGGATTCAAACAAACTGCCACAGACAAAGAGAGAAAAAAAAAAAAAAAACTGAGACTCCTACATACGCTTGTATGGAAGGAACAAAAAGTAAGGGAAAAGGGAGCAACAAGAAAGGCTCCTCAATCCCCAACCCTGAGAACACTGATCCAGGAAAGGTAAAACCAAAAGAGAATGAAGACAGAAAACATGCAATATCAGACACGGCACCTATAGATATAAAACAGTATCTCCAGAGCCTCATAGACGAGTTCAAAAATGAAGTATTTAATGAAATAAAGCAAGAAATAAGTAGAATAGTTAGAGAAATGCTAAGCACCACCCAAGAAAAAACAGATGGTGGAATGGAAGAACAGAAAAAAAGGCGAGAATTGTTTGATGGAGAAAATAGAGAAAACATAGAATACGTGAAGCAGGTTCACAGAGATTACCAGGAAACTAAAACATCTATTGAAAGCTGGCATAACAGCTTGAAAGAAACTAAGGATAGATTATCTGAACTGGAGGACAGATTTGTAAGGTGGGAGCATGAAATGAAAAACTTTTTAAAAATGACAAGAAAACAAACAGCAATAATACAAAGACTAGAAGATGACAAGAGGATCTATAACTTAAGAATTAAGAACATAGAAGAAGTAGGGACTCAAACAAATGAACTACAAAAGCTATTCACAGAAGTAATCCAGGAGAATTTCCCTAATTTAGCAAAAGGTAAAGATACTCAGATGTATGAGGCATACAGGACCCCAGCCACCTACAACCCAAACAGAGCTACACCCAGGCATATAATAATCAAAATACCAGAAATCCAATATAAGAACAGAATATTAAAAGCCGTCAGAGACAAGAAACAGATCACTTACAAGGGAACACCCATCAGAATTACAGCAGACTTCTCAGCACAAACCATCAAATCACGAAGAGCGTGGGACGAAATAATTCAAGCTTTGAAAGATAATAACCTCCAGCCAAGAATGATATATCCTGCACAACTGTCCCTAGAAATTGATGGAAAAACAAGGTGCTTCCAGGATAAAGAGGAATTAGGGGAATTTGCAACCACCAATTCAACTCTACAGAGATTACTGCAGGATATTCTAAAAATGAAAGATACGAAGATTCCAGAAACAGTGACAGAGCAGCCACAATGAATGGAGCAGAAAGCGAAATGAAGAGGACAAACTGACAACTAGTGACAGAAAAAAAGCTCAGCAGAAATGAGGCAGAGAAGGTTGGATGGTATGAACAGCCATTTTGGAGAAAACAAGACATCATAATAGGTAGTGCTGATTTAATATCCTCTTGTTTTGAAGTCCCATCAAGCTTTTGTTCTTCTGTCTCCATCAGTTTTAACATGTTGTATCTTATTGGATTTTATTATATGTGATAATATAAACAAAAACTTTTATAGACAAGGAGATTATACAGAAACCATTGTTCATTTTCTGTTAGTTGATTCTAAATACCCTGTAATACTGTCATTCTCTTGAATGGTTTTACATTGTCTTGATATGTTTGATGCTACAGTATACGAAGTTATACCCAAAGATTTTAAGGGAAGAGACACTATGGTAACTACTATTATGTCGAGATAATCTTGTGGTGAAACACTGTTTTGCTTAAATGGCTATGTTTTGACCTGCGCTGTTTTGTTGTTATGCCCTCTTTTTTATCTCAATTTCCTTTTTATTATCTACTTTTTCATTTTTATCCTTTTAATTAAGGGAAAATAAATAAACAAATAGCAGGATATATTATAGTAACCCACTTTGATTTCCTATTAACTTGATTTGAAACTCTATATTGCTCTCAACATCTTGTTTCGACTGATTTTCCTCTATTCTTGTTATGCTAGATAGTACCAAGTTTGAAAGTCTAGGCAACAACTATGAAGACAATAAGATCCATTGTGACGCCCATTCTGGTTGACTATTATCTTCTTTTGAAGTCCTCTAATGTCTCCAATGTTTTGTTTTTATTGGTCTTATTCTTTACTGTTTTGTTCAATTTTATTATAACTGATGATATAGGCAATTATTTTAAGATAACAAGAGGCATTATGGTAACCATTGTTGATCACCTTGTATTTTGTTTTTACATTATGTATTATGTCCATTCTTTTGATTTGACTGACTCTGTCCTGGTATGTCACATTTGGTTTTACTTCAAAAAAAAAGTAATAAGAACTGTGGGAGTAATAAAACCCAAAATGTGTAATTGTCATTGTACAAAAGAAAGGAAAAGAAAGTTCTCTAAAAGATATAACTGAATATATATTTAAGTGTATAAGATAACCATATTACTGAGTTTTGTTGGATTATGAACAAAACTGTTTGCAGTCTCACTGTTTGAAAGTCCCCTCTATATGCTTTAATTTTGTAACTTCAACAACTATTTCTAAGATGACAATATGTAATTAACTAGTGATTTCCTACTGTTTATTTTTTCTGAAATTCTGATAACTTGTACCCTTTTTCTGTTTTTTCTTTTGTCTCCTTAAATAAAATTAAAAAAAAAAAGAAAGAAAAACCAGGTACCTGGCCCACTCCCCTGCACTATGCGTGGGCAGCCAATGCAGGAAGCATGTGGGACCCCACAACTCGCTCATCTGGAGGAACCCAGGAAAATGTCAACACAAAGATACAAAAGGCAATCTCAGACCTCCAGCCCAGACAGAAAATCTAAGAGGCATAGACATGGAATAAATTGAAAGTGACACTCTTTCTTTTGAAGAGAACAAACCAAAACAAACAGAATAAAGCTAATCAGAACAAAACAATGGAAACAATGCAGCACTTCAAAATAAGATAATAGGAAATCAAGGCTGGGGATTTAGCTCAGTGGCATAAGTGCCTGCCTGGAAAGTGTCAGGTTGTGAGTTTGATCCCCAGTACCAAAAAAAAAAAAAAAAAAAAAAAAAAAAAAAAAAAAAAGAAAGAAAGAAAGAAATCAACAATGGGTACCACAATGTCTCTTATTTTCTTCAAAATAACTACCCATATCATCAGATATAATAAAATCAAACAAAACAAAACAGAATAAAACCAATAAAAACAAAAGAATGAAAGTGTTATAGGACTTCAAAACATGATAACAGGAAATCAACAATGGTTACCATAATACATTCCATTATCTTTCAAAATAGCTGCCCATAGCATTAATTACAGTAAAATCAAACAGAACAAGACAGAATAAAATCAAACCTAACAAAATCATGAAAACAATACAGGAAATCAAAACAAGATAATAGGAAATTAACAATAGTTATCATCTTCTCTTTTTAAATGTTTACTCCCTATCACTTTCATAATATCTATTGTACATTTTGGGTACCACTAACTCTTTCAGTTTTTTACACTAGGACATAACACAATGTTCACCCATATGAGCCCAAACCATTTCACTCATGAGCATGACCTCAAGTTGCATCCATTTAGCTATAGGAGCCTTGAGATTATCCTGCTTTATAGCTGAGTAGCTTTCCATTGTATAAAAATACCATATCTTTCTTATCCATTCTGTGATTGATGAGCAAGCTACCCTTGCTCTTTTCTGATTTCTTGTTGCATGAAACAATTGTTTTTTCTCCTTTTGACTTTCAGTCTATGAATTTCCTTTTGAGTTAAATGTGTTTTTTGTATACAGTATATTGATGGCTCTATCCAATCTCCCTGTGTTTCTTGTTATTGCTGAATTGAGGCCTTTTGCATTAATTGCAACTGGCATGCATTGGCTCATCTCTGGCATCCTGTCTTCCTATTGTTTGCCCCATGCTTTATGCCTTCATTCAATTGCCTGCCCTGCTCAGTAATCCCCCTCTGCTGCTATTCCTAGAACTATGGTCAATTTTTACCTTTCTAGAATATCTTTCAGCACTCTTTGGTTTGTTGGTCATGAATTTCTTCAGTTGTTCTTTATCAGGGAAATGTCTTACTTCTCCATTGATTTTGAAAGATAGTTTTTCAGGATACATCAATCTGGGTTGGAAGTTGTTTTCTTCCAGAACTTGAGACACTTCACTCCAAACTCTTCTTGGCTTGATGGTTTGTGTTGAGAAGTCTGTCGTTATTCTAATGGGCTTTCCTTTATAGGTGATCTATTTATTTTCTCTAACAGCTTTTGATATTCTGTTCTTGTGCTGAATTTGTGGGATCTTGATTATTATATGTCTGAGTGTACATTTATTTTGATTGTGGCTGATTGGAGTTCTATATGCCTATGCCAGGTGCTTTCCCCATGTTTGGGAAGTTTTCCACTATTACTTATGTAAATAGCCTTTTTATATCATTAGTGTTGATCCCTTTTTCACTGATACTTATAATTTTTCATTGCATCATCTTGCAGCCATTGAGTTGTTATTTCCTGATTCCTTGTTATTTTTAAGAAATCTTTCCTTTTATGATCACTAGTTGCAATCCTGTCTTCAAGAACTGAAAGTCTATCTTCAGTCTTTTTCAAGTAGATTTGCTATCTTTCAATGGAATTTTTAATTTCTTGGATATCTCTTTGAATCTGTTTCATGTATTGTAATTCCTTCTTATATTGTTCATCATTTTCCTCTTTTTTAATCTATATTTTCTTTAGGTATGCTGAGTAATTCTTTTATTATGCTTGTGATTTCTTCTGAGATATTATTTGTGACCTGATTACTTTTACAGTCTCATGAAGTTGTTTCTTTACTTCAGTTGCTATCCTCTCAGATTTCAGGTGTGTCACTTCCATTTTCTTCCATGATTGTAACTTCTAGACTTGTTCTGTGGAGGCTAGAGGTCTGAGATTGCCTTTTATTCCTTTGTCTTGTGTTCTCTTGGGTTTCTCTCAACAAGCCAGCTGTGGGATCCCTGGCACTGCTGGGCATGGTGGTGCACATCTGTAATCCTAGCAGTCGGGAGGCTTAGACAGGAGGATCACATGGCACAAGTTCAAGGGCTACATAGTGAGTTTAAAGCCAGCATCAACTATGAATAGAGACCCTGCCTCAAAAGAAAAAAAAGCAAGAGAAATATATAGATAGGGGAATAAATAATAGCAGGTGCAGAAAGGCCACACTCTGCCTCTTACCGCCCCCACTCAGCAGGGAGGAGGAACTGGGAAGCTACTGTCAGGCAAGGCCAAGTGAGGCTGAGAGAAGACAGGACATGGGGGACTCACCATAGCGCCTCGCAGTCATCAACTGCTACTGGAGTGGTGTGGATTGGCAGGTGATAGTGACCAATGCCACAGAAATAACATACGGATAGGGCTGGGATGTATCTCAGTGGTGTAAGCACCTGCTTGGCAAGTACAAGGTCAGGAGTTCGATCCTGGGTACCAAAAAAAAAAAAAAAAAAAAAAAAAAAAAAAAAAGACAACTCAGCACAGGGAGGCACCGAATTGTATCTGTGGCCTTCCTACCATGTGAGCACCAACTCTGCTGGGCCCTGGCCAACTGTGGAAGGACACGGCCCAGGAACAGGGCCAAAAAGGACCAACGCCGAGGGGTGGGTCATGTGCACAAGTGACCTCCCAGAGGATGGACAGTGCTGGAAGTACTCACATGAGACCCTGGATGTCCTAGACATGCACAGTGCAGTTTTCGAGTTTTGTTTTTATATTTTTGAAATACTAGGGAGGGAATGGGGGCCACCTGCAGGCGTTTCACAGAGCTACATCCCCAACACTTCTATTTCTTTTGAGACAGGGTTTTGCTAATTCACCCAGACGGGGTTCAAATTTGCATTCCCCTGTTTTGGTCTCCCAAATAGCCAGGATTGCAGGTACGTGCCATCACATCAAATGGGGTTTTTAGGGGCAATGGGGACCTTGCAGCTCCCCGATGGTTCTGAGAATAAATGCAATTGAAGTGGTTAAGTGCATGTGTTTGTACATGAACACATGCAGAAAATTAGGACCAGGTTGAGACATGAGAATCCTTGTCACTGTTCTGGGAGTTTTTCTGTAACTGAAACTATTTCAAAATAGAAACTGCAGCATCACTGGAAAAGTCAGATTCTTAGGGGCTGAGTTGGCAGGAACAAAGGGCAGGAAGTTGCTCAGGTGCCTCACCAGCCTGGTAGTCCTAGAGTGCGATGGCTGTGATGCCCAGGTCGTTCTCATACTCGTCATAGGTATTCTCTTCTGAAAGGAAATGGGGACAGTTGAGCAGCAGCTGGTCCCCACCTGTACCTCCCCACTGTAACTGCTTTTCACACAATGATTTCCAAGATTTGGGGCAGGAGCACTTGTTAGAAAAAAATCTCAGTGAGTGAGCTCCACTCTGAGGGCAGCAGGAGAAAGGAAAGGAGGCACCTCCTGGAAACTCAAGACAAGACTCCAGCTTTCAAAAGCAAGTCCAAGGACTCCCAGCTCTGCCATCACCCAGGGAACATGGCTCTCCTGGTAAGTATCATGACCATTTTGAGAGTATAACTTTTAAAATGCAAAATATCTAGCATCATCAGGGAAGTGAATAAGAGAAGGGACAGGGCAATCAATGCCTGTGACGCTGTCAAGGTAAGAGGCCTCCCCGCCGTCACGTGTGTTCTCAGCCCAAGTGGCTCCTGCCCTCCATACTGATCACATTACCACATTGCTCCATGTGGGATAAGGGGTGTGCTGGACCTGGTGTACTACAGGAAACCTCAGTATTAAAGGACAATAAGCAAAACTGCAGTGTTCACCTAGATCAGGGGCAGAAAACCTTTTGGAGACCAACTAGCTACTCAAACTGTAACACAAAACCCACTTATGTATCACAAAGTGATAATGCTGTAATTAAACCTGAATACCGAGGTTTTAGTTTACAAAAATAACCTAATTCAATGCTTGGTTTCTGGCGGGACTTGGATTGTGAGCCAACAGAGAGGGCTCTGCACATACCCACTGCAGCAGGCATGCTATAGGTTCACCACACTGACCTAAGTGAAACACCTGCACCATCTTCAAGCTGCAGAAAGTGTCACCTTTAAGGTCATCCTGCAGCAGACAGGTGCTTGATGTCCAGAGGAAATGCCACAGTAACAGAAGCCCGTTTCCTGACTCCAGACCTGTCCCCACGTTCCCTGTATCCCAGAATGCCAGGGACCTTACCAGGACCACTGCTGCCACTGGAGACCACTGTGCCTAGGGCCATTCTAACAGGGAAACAAAGAGTTCGGGGGTGGGGGGTGTGAGCAGACAGGAACCCTGAACACATTCTTCATGGGGAATAATGCTGGGCGGGATCTCTCAAAGAGCCCCATTCCCAGGAAGGGATGGGAGTGTGGGCACAGTTTGGTAGTGGCCAGAGGCCTTGCTGGTGTCCTACATGGCTTCCGGATCATAGCCCAGGCTCTGCTAACTGCTGGCCTGTGGGAAGGTAGTTTGTGGCCTCTGCACTGTACACACGCTCGGGCTCACTTTCACTTGAAGGACCTCTGTGGCTCACCTCTGCGTTCAAGGAGGCTGCATCCTGAAAAGGAACAAATGGATATATCCTGTGGCCTGGGCTGGCACCTACAAAGTTTACAGCTACACTGTCAATGCCACCTAAGACACGGGGACTTATTTCCTAGCTTCGGCTGGGATTGAGGAAAAGGACACCAGTCAGGAAGGCATCAGTTCAAAGTCCTCACTGACCTCTCATCCACGGAGCCCCAGTCCTTATTACCCCCAACACTCCCAAATCCTGAAGGGACTGAAGTCCACTCTCCTCACCAGGAACCATACACTCCCCAAACTGCATCCCCAGGGCTCGAGTCATTCCATCCTGAGTTCAAATTAGCCTGTTTGTATTTTAGGTCTCAGGTTTCTGTCCTGTCCAGTGCTGCCTATCAGCACCAGCCAGCAGCTTCTTGTCTTCTAACCAAATCCTCCGCGCAGAGTGAGGCAAGCGAACCACCAAAAGAACCATGTTCAAAGACAAAGGTACTCAGAGAAAATACACACCTTATAATTTAAAACTGCGTGACTAAAAATTTTTTTAATTAAGAAAAAAAAAAAAAAAACATATGACTTGTGAGCTCTAACAGGCATCCTGAAGCACACATTAACATTGGTTCCAATGTTTCTGACCAGGTGGCCTCTGTGGGTCACAAAAAACAAGGCAAGTGGTCAGGAATGGCACTTGCAGGATGCTGCTGGGAGGCCTGGCTTTCTCTGGATTTGGGAGCAAGATCAGGAATACTCAGGCCCGGCCCTGTGCATCTCCATAGCTTTCACGGGTCTGTAACCTCCCTGTGTCTTGAGTCCTCAGCAGTTGCAATTCACTGACACAAAGTGCTATTTAGATAAAAGAGTAAATGTGCAGCCCAGAGTGGCTATGGGGGAAACAGGAAACAGGACAAGGGCCACAGTGGAGGGGGAGCCAGGAGCTGTCAGGCAGGCTAGCATCTGAGGGACAAAGCAAGATCGCAGGTCTGTGAGAGGCACCAATGTGGCACAGAAGGGAGGTGTCTGGGAACACACCATCAGAGCCACAGGAGTCACACTGGTGGTGGCGCCTCAGTGCCAAAGGAGGCTGGTTCCCATAAAGAAGTGCAGCCAGCTCAACACACACAGGCTTGTGAAAGAAGACCAACAAAACCAATGTGACTGAGCATTTGGCATCCAGCGACTTACCCAGGGCTGTAGGGAGACAGTGACCCACTCCTCAGCTGGCAGTCTGACTGCAGGGAGGTGCAGAAAGGTAAGGAAGGGCAGCGGGGAGGATGCCTCACTCCAAGGATGCCATCCCTGAACCCTGCCACACCACAAGCCCAGTGTGGGCACAGAGCACAGCACGTCAAACATCCACACGGGCACTGCAAAAGGTTCAAGACTCCTTCAGGAACCAAACAAAAACACCCACCTCATAGATGGGGCTGGAAGGCTGCCTCTCCTCAGCTGGATGAGGAGTGGGGGACTCAGTGGATGTTTTCTTTTTGGCTTTGGCTTGTTCCTGCAATAGAAAAAGAGCAACCAGAAGGCCATGACCGTCTCGATGACATCAGCAACTCAGAAAAGGAAGGTACCTTAGCCTGAAGAATGGGCCTGATTCAACATCAGACAGTATCACACATCCTAGAGAAGGAGCTGCTGTAGCAAAGGAAAGTCATGCAGTCAGCAGACCACCTTGAGAGGAAAGACCTCGGCGGCCTGCAGCACTTCGCGGTGCCACGCCTGGAAGATGCACTTCACCGGGCACTAGGCACAATTGCAGTGCTGGCGCTGGCCTATAGCTCATTGTGGAGTCCTCACTCACCAAGGTGATACAGATGATGAGTTGATGCTGTAGTGGACTGAGGTTCTCAGGGACCATGACGTGAGGGGACTATATTATGAGTGGGAGGAAAGTGTGAATCTTTGGCCGTCATGGATACAATGCAGTAGACAAATAATGCCCCCTGCTCTGATTCCATGGTGGGCCCAATGTCATCACAAGGTCCTCATAAGACAAGGAGGAGTGTGACAGGCAGTCAAGGCATGTGAGGATGGAAGCAGAGGCTGGAGTCACACGAGCCAAGAAACGCAGGGGCCTCTAGAAGCCAGAAAAAGGATAGACACACAGAGCCTGCAAAGGAATGCAGCCCCTCTGACACCTCTGGGGATTCCTGAGTGCCACAAGTGAAGAATGTGTTGTTTCAAGCTCTGTGAGGGTGACCTGAAATGGCAGCCACAGGAAACACACTGATGGCCTGCATGCTCCAGGGAGGACTGCGGAAGACACACAGCCAGGGAACCGTAGAGGCATAATCTGAACCCCAGTTGCCCATGGCACACCTCCCCCATGGGACAAGGAAACACTGTCTCATTTTGTTGGAAAGCAAAGCAGGCCTGGTCCTTGACAGGTCTCTGCATCGCTGTGGACTAGCCTGACCTGCAAGCATTTGTCACCTGGAATCCTACACAGGTTCAAAACCCAAGGCCTGAGTCCCTGGCAGCCGTGAAGGGCAGAACTGGGCCCACCAGCCTCAGCACCAGGCTGCAGGGTAACTGGATCACTTCACAAACACAGCTGCAGGCCGAAGGGCCTACACTTCCAGCCCTTCCCAAACCCAGCTGGGTGAGAAGCCTCCTCAACAGCAGCCACCAGATAGTGTGGATTGACACATAGGCTTCTCCTGCCAGGACGCACTGTGCCAACCTGTCTGGGGTGCTCCTAAGTAACGGAGGGGGTCCACCTGAGACTCAGCACACTCCTGGGGAGGAGGGGGGCCTGTAAACAGAAAAGGACTCAGCAAGCAACCTGCAAAGAAAGGGGCTAAACAATAACTACCCTACTCAAATCTCTCCTCCCAAGCAAGCAGGTCAAACTGTTGGGTCCCAGATGACAGAGATTAAAATCCAGTCATGAAATAAGGAAGGCCCCAATTACGTGAAAAAAAGACGAGACAGCAAGTAAAGAGTGCCTGTGTGTATTCGGGTGTTCTGTGACAAAGAACAACAAACAAACACCTTACTTTATAGAAACTATGAAGGAGCGGTCATTAGGTGTTTCTAGTCACTAAGAACAGGAAAACAGTGTTGTCACGAACCTCTGCTTCCCATCACGTGCCTGCCTGTACTAAGGCAAATCGGGTCTTGTTCATTAATGCCTCCGTTCCCAGCACCCCTGCCTCTGCACACCGACCTCCTCCCGCTGGGGATTCTTGGAACCCAAGCACTGCTGTAAGGAGAAAACATTCAGAACCTCACTTGGCCCAGCAGCTTCGTGTACATTATTTCAGCCTCGACTGCTCAACTACCCAAGAGAACCAGCCAGGCTGTCAGCCGTGGGTCCTGATGAGCAGGTGGCAGAGCAGAGCCAAAGCCCGCCAAAAAATCCTGGAAAGAGAGTCCTTGCACTCTGTCCAACCTCCACGGCCTCTGTAACCTCTTCTTCTAGTCAAAGTGTGCAGACCACAGGGAAAAGTGGCAGACCAGCCCCAGAGGTCAGGGCAGGCCACCTTGGCAGATGGGTTTGGCCGACCCCTGCCAGCCTGTGTGGCTGACTCTTTGAGTGGAAAACACTTTCTACTGAGAACTTCTGGGAATGCGGAGCAAAGTGGCAGCCACCGCAAGCACGAGCACCCCCTTGGCCACGCATGCTCACGCGCTGGGCCAGCTTCTCTGTCTCCACCTCCAGCTTCCTTCGAGCCTCCTCCTGCTCCTGCCTTTCCTTGGCCATCCACTGTGCTCTCTCCGCTTCCACCTGTCCTCCTGCCTTCTCTCTTTAGTGAGATTTTCAAACTTTGCCCTCATGTTGCTGGCTTTGCTGGCTCGCTGTAGAGGAAGGAAAGAGGGCGTCTGCCTCACAGCACCTCGGAACACTTCCCTGGGCTGAAAGCCCAAGCAGGGTGACCTTCTGCAGCAACAGTTGGCCCCACCAAGAGCTCACACTTCTCCCACCCCACTGTGCTCAGCCTGCCAACTGGGCCAGCTCTCTACACTGTATGTAGCAGCACTTGTGTCTGAACCTTGGCTTCCCACGTATCCTTTTCTGAGATGATGGGAAGTGAACTCCAGAGCTCTGAGCTACATCCTCAGTCATTTTTATTTGCTTTGTTGAGACGGTCTCATTAAGTAGCCTAAACTGGCCTCAAACTTTTGATCCTCCTGCTTCAGGCTTCCCGGTAGCTAGGACTACTGGTGTGAACCAGCACAGCCCCGCTGGAATACTTTTATATAGTGCATCATCACATTATTTGCCACCACATGCTGAAAAAACAAAGAAGCAGGCATCCTTACTAAAAGATGCAAGTCTATTGTTGTTAAAGAACTTTAAAAAAAAATATTGATTTTCAGCAGATTCTGACCTTTACATATGCATTTTGGGTGTTTCGTGTGGCAAAAATGGGAAAGTCATAAAGCACTCCTGTGCATCTCAGAGAACAGCCTCTCTGCACTAGCTAAATGGTTTTCTTATGGAACATAATTTTCCCTAAGATAACAAGTGCCAGACAAACTCTGGTTATGCAGATTTGGGGATCTGGCAGACACTTCCTCCAAAGTAAATGAATCAAATCATTCTGTCAGCAAAACTTATAGCAGTATTTGTTACCCACAGGAAAATTAATGCTTTCAAGCAGAACTAAAGAGTTCTAGAAAATCAGTAGCTGCCAGAGTGAGCATTGTCACTTAAAGACTGCACCAGGGAGATGGAGAACAAATGTGATTTTCTTCAATAGTATAATGAAAGGGATCAATCGCAGGACAACAAGGATAATCTGTAGGTCTACTGTCTTTTTAATGGCTGCAGCATGATGTTGTCACTCTGGGGAAGCTTCCCAGGATGCAGAACTAGCCTTTAAGGAAAGATGGCCCACACGCACCAGGCAAAATACAGAACACCATAGTGACCCCAAGGTCACCAAGGGCCCTCCCTTCCCACCTGCTGGTCCACCTGTGTCCAGTTTGCCTTAACTGTAGAAGCAATCTGGCCACTGCCACAGACAAAATGTGGGAGCAGATATGAGACCCCAATCCACCATCCTCTAGTAATGGGATTTAGAAAAACATAAAATGATGTCATTCCCCTAAATTTTCTTATTCTGGAACTCACAGTAGTTTTTTTAAAAGCAAACTTAATAAGCAGACTTACCATAGTTTTATTTTTACATGAATTGAAAGCTTTCCTCCATTTTAATTTAGAATACATACCAATAAACACATCCAGCTCCATGGAGGCTCTCTGTGGTCCTCAATGACTTTCAAAGTGCCAAGGTGGTCTGGGACCACAGAATCAGGAAGTGATCCAAGGCACCTGCAGCGGAGCTACAGTAACTCTGAGCTCCACTCCCCTCCTTCTTCTCCTCTCCCCGCCCCCTCACCCCACTGAGACTTGAGCCCAGGGCTCTTTCATTGTGTAATGTTTCTTGTGACAGTTCTCACTGAGTTGCCAAGACAGCACTTGAACTTGCAATTCTCCTGCCTCAGGCTCTCAGAGTGCTGGGGTTCTGGGCACACGCCACCTACTGGCAGGTATTTCCTCTGAAGTGAGCAAAAGTGGGCCTCTGCTTCCCAATTTTAAGTGGACCCCCATTCACAGGGACTCTGGTGTAGGCTCTGTTGTGAGAGTTACTTTCCGAAGCAAAGAGGGGTTAACTGTGTCTCCAGGGTCCCTGCAATGTAGGGGGCAGGGTTCTGGGAGCAGTCACACATGTCCCTCTGCTCCTGGCTGTTTCTCCAACCTTGCTTTTCCTCCTGGGATTTTCCCTAGACTTTCCTCCAGAGAAGACCAAATAGCGCTTTGGCTGTGTGGGTGACACTCACCAGCTTGAACAGGGACAGTTTTCTAGTAGGCAGAGGATACCTGTGCCACACCTTCAAAGGTCGACGCACTCTGCAGAGAAGGAAAAAGAAATCAGAAGCGTGCTCCTCTGCCCCTCCCTACCTGCGGAAATGCTACAGCCTCCCCAGATCCCTCAACAGACCAGGCAGCCTAAGTTCTGCCCCTGTGTTCTGCAGATTCACGGAGGTACAGCCACACACACTGCTGACCATTAGTCAGTGTCACAGCCATCTGCTCAGGGACAAGCCACCTCTGTGCTGCTCAAGCCTGATCAAGCCTGCCCCCGCCCTGCCTACAAGCCTCTGCTGTGTGGGGACAGGTCCTCAGGACACACAGGCCTGCCTGGCCAAATGTTCCACGTGGCTCTGTAATTGGGATGCCACCACTTTATTTCAACTGGGCTCTCAGCTACACCCCAGAGAAACTGCTGTGACATCAGGCCCTAAACCGCAGGACCTAGCACAGGCTGGTGGGGTTCTTAGAAACTAATGACCTTCCCCAGTTCCTTTGAGAGCTGCACCACTGCTGATGGGAGCACCGTGCTCCAGCTCAGGATGCTCACTGCTTCCCCACATGGCACACTAGAGTGCAGCCCAAAGAGGCAGCCCCTCGAGGTAGCAAAACCACACTTCCCTGCGGCACAGGCACAGATGGCTCCAGCTGCCCAAAGGAGACCAGAAAGGAATCTG